AGAGAGAGAGAGAGAGAGAGAGAGAGAGAGAGAGAGAGAGAGACAGACAGGTATTTCTAAGACTTTCTGTCTTTATTGGATAGAAAACAATCAGACAGGAAATGTGACGGCAGAGAGGAAGATGTTACAGATAATGAAGATACATTGGATGCATCTTAGACACAAAACAATGTGGTTCATTTTCATTTGGTATATCAGAAACATGATGCAGAAGACGTGTACTCGTTTACAAAGATGAACACAAAGCAGAACAGGTTTCAGAAGCTCTTAATATAGTAGCAGGCAGACAACAGGAAACAGGAAACAGTACCTGTGCCACATTATTGGTGCTGCCCTTGTTGTTGGTGAGCTTGAGTTTGCTGAAAGACACTTCTTGTCTCATCCAGTGAGCTCCTGTGTTGGGAGAGTCGGGGTGCATGTACATCCTGTTCCCTGGAAGGGAACCACGAGCAACACTTAACAACATTCTGAAGGTATTTCAAACAACTAACAGCAGTTATTGTTTACTCGTTTTGGTCACTTTAACAAGCGTGACTCTAACGTCAGCCTGTCAGACCAGCATTGTTTATGCAAACGTTATAGATGTGCAAACAATGAATTTGAATGTAGAGTAATTGACGGCCATGTCTAATGCATCACTTATAATACGTTATAATCTGCTCATAGCTTGAAAAGAAAATCAGTGACTGACCAGCAATTATGAAAAATGATGTTACTTGACCTTAAAAAATCATTATAAAATGCTTTATAATGTGTTATGACTGTTGTTCTAAAGCATTATGAATATTTAACTATAATTATAAGTAGATTATTACACATTATAAATATATTTATAATGCGTTATAGACATGGGCCTCATAGAAAGTTTTTTAACTCCCCTTCTAGTGAGATTTTTTGCATTTCTTTGCAACAAACACGTCACAGTTCAAGCAGTAAAATATACAGAAAACAGAAAATCAAACATGCAACAGCTGTAGATGTTGTGGATGCTACTGCCAATCTTTTTTTGAAACAATAAGTCACGTTCATGTGTCTGATTCTGTTAAATAGGTGAGAAGCTGCATCATATTTTACCTGAAATAAAATAAAAATGTGTTTCTGCCAACGGCTCCGACGTTGTTTCGTCTCTTCTGTATTTGATGCGTTCTTATTGCAGGATACAATCCGGGCGCCATGACTTTTCACAGCGTCACCACAATGACCCGCTAACCTTCGCCGAGCACACCACATAAGTGAACTATTAAATCTAATTGAGTAAAATTGTTTCACCACAGTTTCCACAACTGTAGCACATCGTCACCTTTCCACAACACCTGGTGCATGTGTGACAACACCTTGCACTTTCTCTCATTTGTATAATTGTGGTTAGTCGATCATCAATCACACACTAAATATCCTCTCGCTTGACTTGCTGTTGTGTTGTTGTTGTTTTTAATTCTCTGAGGTGTGAACAGGAAGAATAATAATGATGGAGGAAGTAAAAGAAGAAATCCATGTTCTTTACAGAGATGAAATCTGGAAATAATGACAGAAATATTCAAATAATTATGTCCAAGAACAACTCCCTACAAATAAACGAGTAATGTGATATCACAGTATATTTGGGGAGAAGCATGAAGGGATTTAATGACCGATTTTAATACTTTAAAGTCATAAAAACGATCGGAAAGACGTTTTCAGTTCCCTTATTAAAGACTTGTTTCTGCATGATATTCCCAAAGATCCCATCGCAGTCCTCCAGAGACTCGTTGCAAGAGAACTTTTCATGAGCTATTTCAAATCTGTGACGATGCATTTTTTCAGATAATTTCTTCATAAATAGTTTATTTAGTTAAAAGGAATAAGAGACACGAAAAGAAACAGTTAAACCTTCATCGTTTCTTTTGCAAAATCCACACTTGGTCGGCCGTGACGTGGTTGATACTCTAATGATTCTGGATTTTTGGAGACTGAAAAGCAGTATTTTTTTAAAAGAAAAACAAGCAACGTTGATACAAATCCCGTAGATTAGTTTGCGACCAAGATACACTCTGAGCCTTTACAGTTGAAGACTTGTCAGAAGTCTCTGTGGAGACACAGTTGCATCTCCTGCACTGATACACTGATACTAATATATCAACGGACATCTACTCATTATGCGGGACGTCCCACTTCAGAGGTGGGGCTGATTTGAACTACTTTATGATTTATTATTACGGATAAATAATTGATTTGTGTATGTTTTGTATTAATAGTATGATTCTGCAAATCGATCATAGACTTTCTTAAAATCTTTCCAACAGTTTCTAATAACTGATGCTTCTTCTTCCACGTTCAACACCTGCTGTCACAGAGTCTTCCTCTCTGTCCTTCCCTTTGTTCTCAAATCCGTCCACCAGATGACCTCAGACTTTCCCACCTGTCCCTGTCCCTGTCCCAGTCACCTGACTGAACCACCCACCTGCTCACCTGTTCCCACTTTCCCTCGTCAGCCCTGCAGTGTAAAACTGGCCCATTTCCTCTCACTACCTGGCAGGTTGCCTTAGATATATCTGAATCCGAACTTGATTTGTTCCTGTTTTTAGTTCCTGACCTGCTCACCTGTTTTTAGTTCCTGACCTGCACACCTGTTTTTAGTTCCTGACCTGCTCACCTGTCTCTAGTTCCTGACCTGCTCACCTGTTTTTAGTTCCTGACCTGCTCACCTGTTTTTAGTTCCTGACCTGCTCACCTGTCTCTAGTTCCTGACCTGCTCACCTGTCTCTAGTTCCTGACCTGCTCACCTGTCTCTAGTTCCTGACCTGCTCACCTGTCTCTAGTTCCTGACCTGCTCACCTGTTTTTAGTTCCTGACCTGCTCACCTGTCTCTAGTTCCTGACCTGCTCACCTGTCTCTAGTTCCTGACCTGCTCACCTGTTTCTAGTTCCTGACCTGCTCACCTGTCTCTAGTTCCTGACCTGCTCAC